TTACAGGTGTGAGCCACCGCGCCCGGCCCAACGCCTCCATTTTTATAGGCGTCTGAACTCCTTGTTTTCTTTGCTTCCTTTTGCTTTAGAGAAAAATGTAAGGAATTTGAAGACAGCCATCGTCCCTTACCCACCTACACATTCATATACATAGATGCAGAGACAGGCTACGTACCTTTAGATTATAGGAAAAAGTACCTTCTGGGGTCTCTCCTTGCAGCGCTACACGAGAGCGGAGTACGAGTCTGAGGTGGAGGGAGTCATGGCAGGACAAGCGTTTAGAAAATTTCTTCCACTCTTTGACCAAGTATTGGTTGAAAGGAGTGCAGCTGAAACTGTAACCAAAGGAGGCATTATGCTTCCAGAAAAATCTCAAGGAAAAGTATTGCAAGCAACAGTAGTCGCTGTTGGATCGGGTTCTAAAGGAAAGGGTGGAGAGATTCAACCAGTTAGCGTGAAAGTTGGAGATAAAGCTCTTCTCCCAGAATACGGAGGCACCAAAGTAGTTCTAGATGACAAGGATTCTTTCCTATTTAGAGATGGTGACATTCTTGGAGAGTACGTAGACTGAAATAAGTCACTATTGAATTGGCATCAACATGAAGCTGCCCATTCCACTGAAGTTCTGAAATCTTTCATCATGTCAATAATTTGCATATTTCTCTTTTATAATAAACTGATGATAACTAATGACAAAAAAAAGAAAAAAGTACCTTCTAAATTTGCAGCAAGAGGCAGGAGCAATCTTAAAAAGGGGGTTTGAGAAGCCAGCAGCCCACCCTTAGGTGGTCTCGGGATCCCTTCCTGCCACAGTAGAAGCCTGAATTTTCAGATTTTCTCCAAGTGTAAAGATAAAAAAGTAAATGGACCAAAACAGTTCAAAATTAAGTTGATATTATTTAAACACTTCATTATATACTCTGGCTTCTCTTCTGATTGCATAAAAACCAAAGGGAAACTCTCTGCCTTTTAGAAATGAGTTTGTCCAAAGGAATTTCTAGCCTTGAATTTGTACCAAAAAAAAAAAAAAAACAAACCCTAAAAACATATGAGTGATCAGTTGGCCCTGCTGGGGTCTTTCTGGTTGGAAGATGAATAAGGAAAGGCACATCTGACATTTCATTTCACTGACATTTTATTTTGTTCTCAGTCTTTTTTCCTCTGTTTCCTCAAGTACATTTTCTGCTATGATGCTGCAAACGGGCACCAGCGTGAGTCAGACCCATTTAAGACTGTTGAGCCTCACAGGTTTAGCGATTTAATTACGTGTTTTGTGGGATTTGCCAGCAGCGTGCAATCTCCCTGCATGCGTCAGGTCCACACATGGCAGTGTCCCTTGTCTCTCTCTGGGTTTGTTTGGTGGTACATCAGGCCAGTCTCTGGAAGCCTGGAATTAAGGATGCAAGCATGTTCATGCGCGTGGTGTAGGATGGATGGGGAAGGCAATCGCAGGAGACCTTCGCTCCCTCCTCCACCTGGGGCTGGGCCCTGAAAACGTGAGTGGGATACGGTGAGGGTTTGTTGTGTGTGTTTGTTTTGTGAACATGCTGATTAAGGGTGCTGGCCAATCATACAGAAAGAAACATCTGGCAGGCACTTGGAAATGTGGAATGGGTGTTCAGGGCAAAGGGCCATCCAGTTCACCAAGTCAACAGATGCTGATCTTCACAGCAGTCTCTGCAACAAGATGCTGTTCCAGATGCCAGAGAGATTGCAGGAAGCAAACAAGTGCTTGGGGCTCAGTTTCTAGAGGGGGAGGGACCCCTGCAGAGGGACCAAGGCATCTGTCAGCCATGAGGCGCTAAGAGGTAGGAGGAAGCGCATGCAGAGGGGCAGGGAGTCAGGAAAGGTGGAAGGCAGATGGGAAGAGCACTGGAACAGGGGGAGGGCCCGAGGCTGCTGGGGCGAGAGGGCTTAGAGCAAGGGCACCTGTGCTGCTGCGGTCCCAAGAGCGGTGGTGACCGGTGCACAGTGTCGTGATGATACTAAGAACTGCTGCATTGTAAACTTTAAAGTGGTGAATGTTATGGTATGTGAATTGTATCTCAACACAAAAAAGTGATTCATCACAAAATGGTTGAAAGCAGTTTAAAAATATTGAGTGATGTAAATTTAAAAATTAAAACCTCTTGATTCCTTCACCAACTACACCTTCCTGCTTTCCAAAGGGAAACCACGTTACCACTGTGCAGAAACCTTCTAGGACCCAAGTATATCTGTGAGTATCTTTTTTTCTTTTTGGCAAAAACAGGATGAAACTTTAAGTGGTGTTTTGCAGCTCGCTTTGTTTATGGGGAGATAAACATTTCCATGTCAATTCAAGTGCCTTTGTTAAAGAAGTGCCTAGTATCCCCTTGTCTGGCAGTCCTCTCACTCACTTCAGCAGTCCTTTATCAATGGACACTTAAATGTTTCCAAAATTTTGTCATTAGACTCTGGACTGAACATGCTCGTGCTGGCATCTCTGTAACCTGATGCAAGCATCTGTGTTGCATGAATTCCTGGAAGTAAAACTGATGGGCCAAAGGACATGTGTGTTTTAGATCTTGATAAATATTGCCAAATGGCTTTCCAAAAACTGTTCCTAATGGACAGGGTCCCAGCGGTCAAGCAGGCGCCGTTTCCTCCTACCCTGCGGGCTAAAGTCTTCCTCCTGTGAAGACGTCTCCAAGACCACTTGATTGGGGGTGATGGAGAAGGCAGGGCGTGGGGAGGGGAGCCTCAGCCCATCATGGCTTGAGCTAGGATGGCTGTATTTTCATTTGGATATAAACTGTGATTCTGATAACAAGGTTTTTGATCAAAGAATCCTGCTTAAAAAAAAAAAACAGTAAGAAAAATAGGCCTGGCGCAGTGGCTCACCCCTGTAATCCCAGCACTTTGGGAGGCTGAGGAGGGTGGATCACCTGAGGTCAGGAGTTCAAGACCAACCTGGCCAACATGGTGAAACCCCATCTCTACTAAAAATACAAAAATTAGCCCAGTGTGGTGGTGCATGCCTGTAATCCTAGCTATACAGGAGGCTGAGGCAGAAGAATCGCTTGAACCTGGGAGGTGGAACTTGCAGTGAGCTGAGATCGTGCCATTGCACTACAGCCTGGGCGACAGAGCGAGACTCCATCTAAAAAAGAAAAAAAATTTTGAAAGTTTAAATAAGAAGAAGAAGAAGAAGAAAAAAAAAAATAACATGTTTGGAAACCATTAACAGGTTCTTCTAAAGCCATGTTCCCTCTCCCTTCCAGAGTCCCATTTAACCCTGCTGTGGCCTCCAAATGGCACCCAATGAGCTTCACACCAGCGTTCACACCTGTGTAGCCCCATTTCACACCTAACAGAGAGGACCTGTGTTACCACAGGTAATGCAGAATGATGGTATTAAGGACATTGCAGCTTCCGCCTGGGATCGTCTGATCTCCCATTCTCGAGTAAGATAGCACTGTGTCCTGAGGGCAAAGGGGCAGCCCTTTGAGATCCCAGGTGAGGCGGAGCCGGCCTGGAAGTCACCCTCAGGCCCTCAGCCTGACCCACACCATGCCTGTGGTCTCCTGGGAGACCCTGAGCCAGCACCACCCCACTGAGGTACTCCTGAATCCCAGCCCACAGAAACTGTGTGAGATAACCTGTGTTGATTGTTGTCTAAGCTGTAAAGGTTGGGTGAGCATTATGCAACAATGGATAACAGTAGACCTGGACTTGTGTGGTTTGGGGTCCTAGATGCTAAAAATCTGGTTTTATACTTGGATTTAAACCCACCTCTGCCTCTGCCCCGTCGGAGGTACTTGGCATTTCCTCCCGGGTTAGGACATCCAGCCCCAGGCATCTCCTCTCATGACCTCTACCAAAGTGGTGACAGTTCAGATGAAGGTCCTTGGTATGGACAGGAGTTGTGAGGGCGGACAGAGTGACTCGGTGATTGAATACTAAACCCAAATTTAAGATAAACTTGGGTCATTTGGTCCTATAATCTTTGAAAAAGCAATTATGTATAACGGCAGAAGGTTTCAGCTGGATGTCAGATTATACGGATCTGAGAGTCAGTAGGAGGCAAGAAGAGTGGGAACTATTCCTTTCAATGTGATGGTGGGAAGCGAAAACAGAGGGCTCTTTTCTATTGTTTCTTGGTTGGGTTGTCTATTAAGGCATGGAGAGGTGAGCTTGTGTTGTGGGACTAAAAAAAGGGATTTGTAGGAGGAGATTAAAAATGCAATCGAGAGAGGGTTGTGGGTGGAGAGGGGTGCAGAAAGACCGGGGTCAACTTGACTCCTGTGGTTTCCCTGAACTCTGCCTCATTCTGGAAAGAACTGGGGATAACTGGCGTCTCAGTGGGACTGTGGAGTCCACAGGTGCGGAACGAGGCGCTTGTCCAGCTGAGGTGGGTCTTCCTGGAGTTGGAAGCATGGATGTGCAGGAACCCCAGGAACCCCTGTCACGAAGGCTGGCAATTCCACCTGAGAGCCAACTCGAGAAGTGGCCATCAGAAACCTGTGATGATGAGCCCAGGGCTCTCCTTTTGCCTGGTGCACCCCAAATGTGGGGACTGTACTTGGCACACACACAATGGGCATTTAATGCACATTGAATAAATGACATTTGAATGCGGTCTCTCAGAGTTGGTGATTACCGAAGTCAGAATGGAGGGAGGTCAAGGGGCCGTGGCGTGAGGGAGGGAGGAAGGAAGAACCTCGTGGCAATGGCCAAACTGGGAATCCAGAGGTAAACTGATCCAGCATGGGGGAGGGAGGCTTAGGATCTGGAGATGATGTAATAAGAGTAGCAGGGCCTGACAGGGAGGCAGCAGGAATGTGGCTGGAGGAGCCTCCAGGAGCCGTCTGCCAGGGTCGTGAGAATCCATGGGCTGGGGCCAGGGAGAGGAGAGGTCGAGGCTGGGACCACGGTGTCCTCTTCTTAATCAAAAGCTGATGCATTTTGTTTCCTCTTGAAGGCCTCCTTGTTCACAACAGTCAGGGCTTTGTGCTTCTCTCTGAAATAAAACTTTTATCTTAAAAAAAGAAAAGAAAATGTATCCAATATAGTATATCATAATCACAGTATTGGGAACTTTCCCGACTCTGGTGGGAAGGAGGAGGAAGTCGTGGGCTCACTGGGGCACAGGAAAAAATACCAGAGAAGTCCACTCCTAATTTTATTTCTCTCCTCTTCTGCGTTTCTGCTGTAATGGATTGAAAATACACAGGAAATGTAATGCAAAACTTGGCTTTGATTTTTTTTCCCCCCACCTAACCCTGTAAAGGTTTGGAAAGACTTGATTACATGGCAGGGAAAGTAAAAATGCGGATGAAATTCCCTGACGCTCAGGCCACATGACCAGGTGATAAGGCCTTCTGAGACTACCAGCAGCTGCTGCTGGCTCAGGTGCGGCCTGTGTGGGAGGACTCGTGTCTCGGTGGTTACAGAGAAGCTGCTTTCCACTGTGTGAACCCGGACTGAATCACAGGCCGCTTGTTGTTCTCCCTCGGCCTTGGAGGGCTTGGGACGTTCCTGTTGCCCAACACCCTGGTGAGCTGAGAACATTCTGTAGATTAATGAGGTTCTCTCCTCCGGCTTAGCAGGTCTGTTCTAGCCATTTGACCAAACGTGCTCTGATATTTTCTACCAGCCTTAGAACGACAGACTGCAGATGTGGGCACATAAATGTCTGGGAGGGGCACACAGATACTGTGGGAGCAGTGGGTCTGGCTTAGCTATTGGGAGATCTCGGACGTCCACATGGCGCTAGGTAGAAAGAATGCCCTGACGTGAAAGTGACAGGCAGCTCGGCAATTTCTTTATGGCCTGAACTTGAGTGCGGCCTGTGCTAGAGAAAATAGACGGTGCTTCTCAAAAACAAAAGCTAGCAGCCTGCGAGGAGCGCTGTGCCTGCGAGTTCCTGGGAACAGGAGGGGGCTGTTCCTCCGCCCCTGGCTCCGGTTTCACCCAAGTCACTTCACAGCAGTTGGAAGGAGGTCACCAATTGTGAGTGTGGGGCGGGGGGCGGGGAGGGAGAGGAAGTGAGATGAAAAGGGAAGGCCCCGTTCAGCTGGGAGAGGAGCTCGCGGGCTTTCCCGCGGGCCGGCCTGAAGTGGAAGGGCCCGGGGCTGCCTGCCACCCTCGGATGCCACGCAGGTGCTGGGAGGGCCCCCCGTCCGTGGGCTCAGGGACGTGTTCGCACCGACAGGCACAGAATGGAAAGCACCTTGGGGAAGAAGCGTGTCTCGCCATCTCAGGAGGCAGGCCGGGCCTGCAGACCGCCGGCCCCTCCCCGGCGCTCACTGCAGCTCCCCGCCGCCCCCCACGTGCTGGGGAGCGGGTCCGGTTCCCCACCAGTTTGCTTCTGGTCTTTGTGTTTGCTCTGGGGCCAGGCGCGCCCTCTGCTGCAGGCCTGGGCTCCTGTTTGGAGTTCTCCTTTCATTTATTGCTAAATTGTCTTGAAAGGCAGTGGCCACACCAACAGAGGTCGTCCGGCCTTCTTTCCACGAAACGAAGCGCCCAAGTGAAAACGCATGTACCCGCGGCAGCTTCTCGGCGGCGGGCTTCCTGGGACGGAAGACACAGGCTCGCCCCAGGGAGACGGAAGCAGGGGATCGGCTGGAACTCAGCTCGCCTCCTCCTTTCTCAGCAGGGCAGAGAATCATGGGCTTGTGCTGACGAAAGCTCCAGAAAATGGACTCATTTAACCTTTCCAAAGATGTTATCCAAGCTGCAAAATCTTGGCAACCTGAAGACCTTTTAAGTCGATATACCAAAGAGCTTTAGTCGGGATTGAATGCAAAATGCCAAAATTTCACTTTTAAAATCGTCGTAACATCTAAATACAACCTAAGCACACTTGTAAACTGATGCCGAACAGGCACTTTGAGAGCCCTCCCTGCACCCTTTCCTCGCCCCCTCCTTTGTGCAAATGCTGTTTGCCCAGAACTTCAGCCACTGAAAATCCTGGGAACTTCTCTTCCTGGCTGGCAACCTAGCAGTTTGGACTCCCAGAGGAGGTTTTGAAATCACTGAGGGATTTAAGCCTCTCTGTGTCATAGAAAAGCCAACACCCTCCCAGTTGAAGGTGGCCCCAAAGATGCGGGCCCGGGACCCAGGACTTCTGCGGGAGAGTGGAGGCCTGGGTGCCCCCCGCCTTGCCCTGCACATGGTAGGTGCTCAATAATTACATACTAAATATTCACACAAAGCAGTGATCCTGCCGAAGAGATCCACTGCAATGCACCTGGCTTCCTAGAAGCAGTAAATGAAAAGCTTTTTTATTTTTTAAAACAGAGAAGAGATTAATGAAGCCCTGACGTAGAGGCGGAGAGCTCAACAGAATCAAGACGTGCGCAGAAGCAATTTGCTTCTGAAACTCTAAACACGGGTGCTTTAGTACTTCCTGACACTCCTCAGCAGCAAGCAAATAAATATTTACATGTGGAAGGAAACTGTCCTTTGAAATGTAGGTTGTTCTATTCAGAAGAGAAATACGGCAAGGTTCCACTGCTTTAGTGGCAACACGCGTTATTTATGTTTTCCAGTTTGAAAATCATGCGCTTTCTATTAGGACCCTTACGTGGTAAACACCGATTCCCACATGAAGCGAATTAGTCTGGCAACCCTCCCCCACCCCACTCTTGCTGGTTCAGGGACAACAGCATAAGCTCTGACCAATCACCGTTTGTTTTATGCTTTGATTACCTGGTGAGCTAAAAGCAATGATAGTAAAAGCCTGGACCTGCCATGTATTCAGTCTGTATTTGTTACTCTCCCCTTTCTTCCATTTATGAGTTTGTTCCCAAAAGATTTTTTTTTTTAAACTTCTGACTCGAGTAACTTTTCCTCTGATCTGATCTGATGTCAAATTAGTGGGTGGCAGGAGAAAGCAGGCCACATGATATCATCGTTTCCTATTCAAACAGATGGCTTTTTTTTTTTCAATAAAATACTCTGACTGCAAGGCTATGAGTGTGCAGATAATTGTGCTGCTTACTCCGATTGGAGGTGTCTCCAGGGAGTTTCCACACGCAGGAAGCTTTCCTGTTCTGAGGTTTTGGAAGAACACTTTCAGCAGGATTTCGGGTCACTGAAATGAAAGTGAACTACGCTCTGTACAAATGCATCATGTTTAATTCAAGAGAAATTCATTCATTTCTTTGTTCTATAAATATTTACTGGCAGCCCGTTTTGTATAGGAGGCTGCCACCTCCCAAAAGCCCCCCGCTCCTCGAGTGGGTTAAGCCTGATACCCCTCGTCAACAGATGTGCCCAGAGGCCTGGGGTGCCCAACACAGGCTCGTTCAGGTACGACAAGATAACAGGGCATGCCTGGTCCTAGAGTTCAAGGGCTTGTCTTATTTTATTTTAAAAATCAGACTCTTAACTGCTTGTTTAATCTAGATGTTAACACTCAACCTACAGCTACCTGAAATATGTGAGTGGTGTTTAATAGATGATAAAGATCATATATTGCTCTCATGGAAAGAATGCAGAAATATAGGTGTCCCTTGTAGTCTTTAGTGTGTCCCCATAATCAATGTCCCCAGCTCATTAATGGAAAGGTCCCCTCCTCCTCCTTCCCCGTCGCTGCCCTCATTCCTATAATGTAAACAGCCACCAATGGCTCCTATTTCTTTGTTCAAACAAACAATAGCCTTTATAACGAGGAAGAAAATTAGTATCAGGTGAAAGCCTCACTTCAGGGTGCTTATGGCTTTTTCTTTTTTCCAGAATAACAGAGCACGCCAGTGATCATAAGAAGAAAAATTCACACTTAAAGTTTGGAAAGCAACAGGACAAAGGTCTGTCTTCAGTGGTGCGTAGACATGCTCGTGATTGAACTGGAAATAGTTCTCTTTCCTTCTCTCTGCCTTCCTAACTGGGGAGACAGGCTGCTCAGAGGCCTGGAGCCAGAACACGCACCCCGGCTTTGGTAGGGCCGGCTTGCTTGGTTAGAATCGAAGGAAAAGCCTTGTTATTTGGGAAGCTGGGCGTCCTCACCAAATTAGGGGATTTAATTTGCAAATATCCAAGGAGTACTTTGAAATGAAAGACGAACTAAAATCTGCTCCAAGGCCCTTGATTTTTCACCAGTGTAGGAGGATTCTCTTGCTGCTGGACATACGTGAAAAGCACCGTCTGATTTAAACGCAAGAGACAGAGGAGAGATTTTATAAACATTTTCTACCATTCCATGAAATCAATTCCATTCAGGGCTAGAATTCAAGAAATAATCCATGGGCGAGTATGTCCGATGGTAAACCCACACGATTATATTGTTATCCTTTTGTACATTTTTAAATTTTTTTATTATTTGATATTATCACAAAAATCGCTGGAACAGGACCCATGAGCTGTTCCTTCACTGCCTAGTGTTTTCAGAGGCTGAGAGAAGCATTAAGCTCCAATTGAATACATGATTTCCAATGATTCCATTAATTTTTCGGGTTTGTGGTAGGATTTGATTTACTTATTTTGGACTTTAACACACCAATAAAAAATAAATATCAAGAAATAGTAAAATTTGTTGCTTCAAAATAACCCTGAAAATATAGAGATTAGTGAAATTAAGCAAATTCAAATAGAGAAATGATTATCGTTCATTTCCTTAAGGCACAGAAATTAAGACTAGGTTTGAGAACCTTCATTTTTTAAAAACTGGACGATACTGGCTAAGTGAGGACTGGGCAGTCATACTCCACACACGCCCTGTGTGCTTGAAGTGAAGAGAGGACCGCACTGAAATGAGATGAGCTGGAAAGGAGGTGCAGCAGTGAAGGAAATCCTTCTGTTGGGAGAATTCATGTTTTAGCATAATCCTTTCAATAGGACCCAGCAGTGATGTGAGGAGCAGCTCTGGGGCTGATTTAGATTCAGACAGTCTATCACAGGCTGTGTGGTTGCATCCCTTTGGGCCAGTCTCATTTTAGGTCCAAATATGCAGGAGTGGGGCTCTGGCTTCCAGATGTTTCAGGCTGCAAAAGGCTGGGGCCACCATCTTTTTTTTTTTTTTTTTTTTTTTTTTTTTTGAGACGGAGTCTCGCTCTGTCGCCCAGGCTGGAGTGCAGTGGCCGGATCTCAGCTCACTGCAAGCTCCGCCTCCTGGGTTCACGCCATTCTCCTGCCTCAGCCTCCCGAGTAGCTGGGACTACAGGCGCCCGCCACCTCGCCTGGCTAGTTTTTTGTATTTTTTTTAGTAGAGACGGGGTTTCACCGTGTTAGCCAGGATGGTCTCGATCTTCTGACCTCGTGATCCGCCCGTCTCGGCCTCCCAAAGTGCTGGGATTACAGGCTTGAGCCACCGCGCCCGGCCTGGGGCCACCATCTTTAGAGAAAATCCATTAGTTTGATTTTCTTGGGGACCAGGATGAAAACCAAGAACACTCAATGGACTGTGGGACTCAAAGAGTCCACAGGAGGCATTTGTAAGGGGCAAACCTGCATGTGCCCAGTAATTTTTGAAGCTCACAGTAGAAGTGGAGAAGCAGTGATGGGCCCCACAGAACCAGGGGCTTGGGAATGATGGACAAGGAAAAAAATGATTGAAGGACAGCTGGAAGAAAAAGGGAAGCTTCCTTTTAACTGGATGCTGGGTCTCAACCTTGAATAGTTCCAGGCCTTCGGAAGCCTTTTCTCAGGGGGCATGGCCTGGGGACTCCCTGCTTGCGCTGCTGAACTTGCAGGGAAGGAGAAATGGGCAAGGCCAGAGGCGACCATCAGGTGCTCCATAGGCACAGAGGCAGAACTCAAGGTTTAGCTTTACCTTAAGAGGGTGACTGCAAAGTGTGCTCCCTGGACCAGGGGCATTGGCCTCACCTGGGAGCTTGCTAAAACTCCAAGTTGCTCTCACCCAGACTGAATCCAAAATGCTGGGTACAGCCCAGCAATCTGGGCTTTCACACTTTCTCCAGGTGATTCTGGTGCAAGCTAACCTTTAAAAAGTCCTGGGTACCATTCCCAGAGGCTGTGATTAAGTTGGTCTAGGGCTGTGGCCTAGACCTGGGGGTTTTGGAAGCCCACAGGTGATTCTGATGTGTGGCCATGGTTGGCAGGCTGTTCGTAGTGCTGTCCAGAGGTCCTGCTGTGGGATGGAAAGGGTCTGTATCTGCACTGGCCAATGTGGGGGCCAGCCCTGTGGCTACTGAGCACTTGGCCCCTGGCTAGTGCGACTGAGAAGCTGAATTTTTCATTTCATTTACTGTTGATTAAGTTTAAATAGCTAAATGTGGCTAGTGGCTGCCTTATTGGATAGCAGAGTTCTAGAGCCACAGATAAATGTAATACTGTCCCATTAGTTGATTTAAAAATCCAATGCCTCTGTAATCCCAGCACTTTGGGAGGCCAAGGTGGACGGATCACAAGGTCAAGAGATCAAGACCGGCCGGGCGCGGTGGCTCAAGCCTGTAATCCCAGCACTTTGGGAGGCCGAGACGGGTGGATCACGAGGTCAGGAGATCGAGACCATCCTGGTGAACACAGTGAAACCCCGTCTCTACTAAAACTACAAAAAACTAGCCGGGCGAGGTGGCGGGCGCCTGTAGTCCCAGCTACTCGGGAGGCTGAGGCAGGAGAATGGCGTGAACCCGGGAGGCGGAGCTTGCAGTGAGCTGAGATCAGGCCACTGCACTCCAGCCTGGGCGACAGAGCGAGACTCCGTCTCAAAAAAAAAAAAAAAAAAAAGAGATCAAGACCATCCTGACCAACATGGTGAAACCCCTTCTCTACTAAAAATACAAAAGTTAGCTGGGCGTGGTGGCAGGCACTTGTACTCGCAGCTACTCGGGAGGCTGAGGCAGGAGAATCACTTGAACCCGGGAGGCGGAGCTTGCAGTGAGCCAAGATCACATCACTGACTCCATCCTGGTGACAGAGGGAGATTTCGTCTAAAAAAAAAAAAAAACGCCTCACAGAGTTAAATATTTAAGTTGATAAGAAAAATGGTAGTCAAGAGTCTTGGAGGATTATTTTAAAATCCACTTTTGGTGATAAATAGATAAAAACAGTGTAGTAGAGCCCAGAAGTTCCTTCTGATTTCTAGCTTTTGGAGCTGACTTCCTCAATTTTACTTGCAGGAGAACTGCTTCCTAAAGGGCACCTTACCCAGCCATGCCTGCATGCAAGTGTGTATGAGAATTGGAGGGGGCATTAGATGAAAATCCAATTCCTGGTCTCTATCCCAGATGTTCCTATCCAATAGGTCTGGGTTGGGGCCTTGGAAAATGCATTTTTGGCAAACCCCCTATTGATTTGGACGCACAAGTTTCAAGGAACAGGCGCTAAGGATCACTGATTTAGAATCTGTCCATCCAGGAAAGCCAGAGTCACCACACTTGAGTACAGTGGGTTTTGATGTAGGAAAGGTCTTTATAATTCTTTCATGAATTCACCAAACTTTAAAAGCCATACTATTTTCAAGACTGTGCTAAGCTGGGGGAGAAATTGGTGAACAGAATTCAGTGCCTCCCTTTAACTAATAACATAAATACACTTCCTGTTGCTGTGTAGTTAATATTCGCAGCTGCTGAAGGTGCTGCAATTCACCGGGTGATTGCTGAAAACTCCAATCAGTGCCTGACTTATGTTCCTTTCCACACTGCACAGGAAGGGCCTTTTTGGGTAGTGGCTACAGCTGTTAACTGTTTGTGGGCTCAGCCTTCACATGCTATGTTACAGAAAGCCTTTACCCTAATCCTAAATGCTGCTTCTTTTATTAATGTATTATTCAAACTGAAATACTTTTGAAAGTAAATGGGGACAAAATTAAAAATTCTTTCAGGACAGCAAGATTGTCTGGGACACACTGGGAGGTACTGTCACCCTAATTAGGCACCATTATTACTGGGGGAATGAGAATTATGAGGTCACACAGCTAGGAAGGGGCCGAGGCCCCTGCATAGGTCTGTCTGATTCTATCCTGGGTTGAATTCTGTGCCCCAAAATTCATGTCTACCCAGAACCTCATAATTTGACCTTATTTCGAAATACGGTCTTTGAAGATGTAATTAATTAAGATGAGGTCATATTGTCAACTGCCTGGCTAAGTATTGAAGGTGTGTCCCAACCTGCACAGGGTCCATTGGCAAAACCTGGAAGACTTACCGGTTCCATGTAGTTAAGGAAATCTCTAATTATTAGCTGACTTCTAAGCTAACTAAGGACAGACTTCAGTGGCTATACATGACAAAGAATAGAGACTTTACAGAATTAGTTCAGAAAAGGCACTAAAGAAACAGTTAGCTATACCTATAACAAACAACAACAAATCCTCAAGAAGGGAAAAATATTTCCAAAATTGTCACATTATATTATTTAAAATACCTAGTTTTAAATACAAAATTATGAAACATGCAAAGATACAAGAAAATATTACTCATTCATGGGATAGGAACTGTCTCTGAGGAAGCTTAGATATTGGGATTACTCAACAAAAACTTTGAATCAGCTGTTTTAAATATATTCAAAGAACTAAAGAAAACCATGTCTAAAGGTCCAAGGAAGGGATGATAATGCTGTTTCAAGAAACAGAGAATATTAAAAGAAACAGAGAATATTAAACTCCAAATAGAAATTCTGGAGTTAAAAAGTACAATAATGGAAATACAAAATTTGCCAAAAGAAAGTCTTAACAGCATACTTGAGCAAGAAAAGCAGATTTGAAGATAAGTCAATGGAGGTTACATAACCAGAAGAAAAGAAATTAAAGAATAAAGAAAAGACATGAAGCCTCAGAGACCTGTGTGACATTAACCATAACAATATATGCATAATGGGAATCCAAGAAAGAGGAGACAGAAAGAGGCAGAAAGAATATTGGAATAAATAATGACCAAAATCTTCCTAAACCTGTTGAAAGACATAAATCTACACATCCAAGAAGTTTGATAAACTCCAAGTAGAATAAACTCAAAGAGATCTGCATCAAGACACATCATAATTAAACTTTCAAAAGATAAAGACAAAGAGAGAATCTGGAAAGCAGCAAGAGAGAAGCAACTCCTCATGTATAAGCAATTCTCAATAAGATTTACAGCTCATTTCTCATAAGAAGGGAAGCCTTCAGGATAAGATGAAGATATCCTAGATAATAAATTGAATCCACACAAAGAATAAAAGAACACTGATAAAGGTACCTACAAAAGTAAACATATAGGACAGTTATTAATGTAATTTTTGTTTGTAACTTCTCTTTTTTCTTTATTTTGTATTTCAATATATTTTTGGGGAACAGGTGGTGTTTGGTTACATGAATAAGTTAATCAGTGGTGATTTCTGATATTTTCATGCATCCATCACCCAAGCAGCATACACTGTACCCAATGTGTAGTGTTTTACCCATCACCCCCTCCCACCCTTTCCCCTGAGTCCCCAAAGTCCATTGTATTATTCTTTTTTTTTTTTTTTTTTTTTTTGGTACTTTAAGTTGTGGGATACATGTGCAGAACGTGCAGGTTTGTTACATAGGTATACATGTGCCATGGTGGTTTGCTGCACCCACCAACCCGTCATCTAGGTTTTAGGCTCCACATGCATTAGGTATTTCTCCTAAAGTTGTCCCTCCCCTAGCCCCCACCCCCTGACAGGCCCTAGTGTGTGATGTTCCCCTCCCTGTATCCATGTGTCCTCATTATTCAGCTCCCACTTATAAGTGAGAACATGCAGTGTTTGGTTTTCTGTTCCTGTGTTAGTTCGCTGGGAATGATGGTTTCCAGCTTCATCCGTGTCCCTGCAAAGGACATGAATTCATTCTTTTTTTATGGCTGCATAGTATTCCATGGTGTATATGTGCCATTGTATTATTCTTATGCCTTTGCATCCTCATAGCTTAGCTCCCACTTATGAGTGAGAACATACCATGTTTGGTTTTCCATTTCTGAGATACTTCACTTAGAATAATGGTCTCCAATTCTATCCAAGTTGCTGTGAATGCCATTATTTAATTCCTTTTTATGGCTGAGTAGTATTCCATGGGGGTGTGTGTGTGTGTGTGTGTGTGTGTATCCATAAGAATATGGAACCAGTCCACATGTCCATCAATCAACAAATGGATGAGGATAATGCCTTCCAGCTCCATCCATGTCCGTGCAAAGGACGTTATCTCATTCCTTTTTATGGTTGCTTAGTATTCCATGGTGTATATGTACCATGTTTCCTTTATCCAGTCTATCATTAATGGACATTTGGATAGACTCCATGTATAAAAGACACTTTTAATTCAAAGACGTAAGTAGGTTGAAAGTCAAAGAATGGAAAAAATATTCCTTGCAAACAGTAACCAAAAGAGAACTGGAGAGCTATACTAACACTCGGCAAAAAAGACTTTATGACAAGAATTGTTATAAGAAATAAAAGGGTCACTCCATTAAGAAGATATGACAATTAGGAACATATATGCACCTACAAACAGAGCTTCCAAAATATGTAAAGTTATGAGATAATTGAAAAGAGAGAGTTCAACAATAATATTTATTTGAAGATTTTAATATACTCCTTTCAATAATGGATAGAACAACTAAACAGAAGATCATCAAGGAAACAGAAGACTTGAAAAAATTACAAACCTACTAGACTTAATAGACATTTATAGGACACTCCACCTAACGACAGCAGAATGCCCATTCTTCTCAATTACACATGGAACATTCTCCAGGATAGACCATATGTTATGACATAAGTCTCTATAAACTCACATCATACAATCTTCTCCAACCCAATGGAATAAAACTAGAAATCAATAATAGAAGAAAAACTGGAAAATTCACAATATATGGAAATTAAACAACACACCTAAACAATCAATGGATCAAAGAAATCCCAAAGGAATTACAGAATATTTGGAGATGTATGAAAGCAAAAACACAAAATACCAAAACCATGGGAAGCAGTGCTTAGAGAAAAATTTATAGTTGTAAAGTTCTGCTTTTGAAAAGAATAAATATCTCAAATCAATAACCTAGCTTTATACGTTAAGGAACTAGAAAAAGAAGAGCAGGCAGGGCATGGTGGCTCAGGCCTGTAATCCCAGCACTTTGGGAGGGTGAGGCAGGCAGATCACAAGGAGGTGGAGGTTGCAGTGAGCCGAGATGGCGCCATGGCACTCCAGCCTAGGCGACAGAGCTGAGACTCTGTCTCAAAAAACAAACAAAAAGGCCAGTCGCGGTGGCTCACGCCTGTAATCCCAGCACTTTGGGAGGCCGAGGTGTGTGGATCACGAGGTCAAGAGATCGAGACCGTCCTGGCTAACATGGTGAAACCCCATCTCTACTAAAAAACAGACAAAAAAAATACCTGGGCATGGTGTTGGGCGCCTGTGGTCCCAGCTACTGGGGAGGCTGAGACGGGAGAATGGCGTGAACCCGGGAGGCAGAGCTTGCAGTGAGCTGAGATCACGCCACTACACTCCAGCCTGGGTGATAAGAGCAAGACTCCGTCTCAAATAAATAAATAAAAATAAAAATAAAGGAAAAGAAGAGCAAACTGAAACCCAAAACGAGCAAAAGGAAGTAAATAATAAAGATTAGACTAGTGATAACAAAATAGACAGTAGAAAAACAATAGAGAAACGAAGTGAAACCAAAAATTGGCTCTTTGAAAAAAAAATCTACAAAATTGACAAACCTTTAGCTAGTCTGACTAAGAAAACAATAAGATTCAAATAACTAAAATTAGGAATGGAAGCAGGGACACTGCTACCAACTTCATAGAAAAAAAAAAAGAATAAGACTATAATAATTGTATGCTACTAGGATTTGGATATGGTTTGTTCTTACCAAAACTTATGATGAAATTTCATTCCCAATATGGCAGTGTTGAGAGCTGAGGTCTAGTGAAAAATGTCTGAGTCATGGGGGTGGGTCCCTCATTAACACATTAATACCGTCTTGTGGGAGTAAGTTCTCACTCTCATGGGACACTGTGAGTCCTGATTTCAGCGGCAGCTGTTCCAGATGTGCTCTCCTTATTAACATGCAGCTATTATTCTGGATGTTTCTGTATGGATAGTTTTAGATAAGATTAGCATTTAAATTGGTGGACTTTCAGGAAAGCAAATTGCCTTCTGTAATGTGGGTGGATCTCATCTAATCAGTTGAAGGACTGAATAAAACAGCCTAACCTGTCCAGAGCAAAAAGGAATTCTGTGGTAGACAGTCTTCAGACTTGAACTGCAGTCTTGGCTCTTCCTTAGCTCTCCAGCCTGCCAGTCCACCTGCAGATTTTGGACTAGCCAACCTCCACAACTGCATGAGCCAATTCCTTAAAATAAGTCTCTTTATGGATACACTACATATACACATCCTACTATTTCTCTTTCTCTGGAGAACTCTGACTAACACCATCTTCTACAGACAGGACCAACAAGCTCTCAGATTTACGAAGAATTAATATTTGGGAAGCCCTCGTGTATATAGACTTCAGACCATTTGAGGTGTTGACTGAAAGCAAAATAAACATAATAATAAAAAGAAGTCTTAAATATTAGCTTTGGCCTCATGAACAGCTGCAGAAATCCAGACTGTATCCTCTCCTAATACTTCCTTCCTGCTGTGTCATGTATATATTTATGAGTTAATTAATTTTCCTTTGACTCCTCTCTCTTCTCTCTCACTATTATATATACGGTTTGTTTACAGTTAACGATAATTTAGTTCATAGGTTTCAGAATAACACAACTACAGTGCAAGTGGAACTTGAGAATGAATGAACATCCGGGATTGAGGATGGATGCAGTCAGTAACTATTGTCACCCACTGGTGAGGGAGTGAGTACATTTTTTTGTTTGAAATAAGGAGAATGGCATTGTCTCAAACAGATCCAGTTTGTTACTGTTGTTATGGGTGGAAATGAATGTCAGGAAAGAAAATTATATATGTAAATCTAGAGAGTCAGATGAATAGATTTCAAAGGGTGTTTGTCATTCCTTTGTATTCTGGCAGACTCCCCAGGGTGTGTATCAGTGGACGGAGTGCTGGGTCTTCCCCTACCAAAGCTGAAATGCAAGTAAATCCTCGCTCTCCCTGCTCCTTGGTGGTCTGAACTCAGGAACCGGACCTGTCCTTACCCTACAGGATGCTCCCACATGGATCTTTGACTCATCCACAGCAAAGTGATTCTTTGAATCCATTTATAGTGACTGTATTGTCCAATACTAGAACCCTGGCCAAACTTTTCGTGCAAAGAGAGAGCTGTGCTGCTTCCTGCTTCTTGACCTTCCAGAATTTCTGGAGTTCTTAGCAGCCTTCTGAGTTCTTAGTGCTGTGACCCTCGTCCCATTCAGTGTCCTACCAAGGAATGTTTTGTACTTAAGATGGTCAGGGGCAGTTGTTTTGGTTGCAACAAGAACCCTGACCAGTACAATGGTTTTGCACCACAGATTCAAGACCCAAGGCAGGAAGTACCAATGCTCTGGTGCATGGGCTGAGACCATGAGAGGAAGCTGCGGAGCAAAGGCCCATGTGCTTTCTGTGGCTAATCCAGTGTCCTACCTCCTAAGACACAACAAAAAGAAGTTTGGTGTTGGCCTATTGTATCAGGAGCAAAGAAGGAGGTTAAAATGTTTTTCTAGGATGTTCTCTGTAAAACCTTCCTGATGCAAAACACTTCTTTCTAAAGAGTTGGGATAGGCTGTTTAACCCCTAGCATCCCAGATTCTTCCGTAGACAAAGACTGTGTCCTGTGGTTCTGTTGCTGTGGGTACCTACTCCAGGCCTTACCCCTGGATGGTAAAAAGCTGTCAGGTGTTGATAGAAGAATTAGCACCATAATAAAGTGCCCCCCACCCAAGTAGTATTGGAAGAGTTTAAAGAGAATGGTAATAATAAGAGCACCTTGGAAGAAAAAATCAAACAAGCATCTGCCATTGCATTCTATGCTGAAATTAGATCAAATTTTATTTTTAACACAAACCTTTATGCTCGTTTAGGACTAAAAGACACACAGTGCCAACAGGTACTAACCTAGTTCAGGAATTTTACCTGCTCACCAGAATGTCTAAAACGTATTGTCCCACAAGTAAAGATTTTGCCCTATTGTGTTTGTTTGTTTGTTTGTTTTGAGACGGAGTCCCGCTCTGTCACCCAGGCTGGAGTGCAGTGGCCGGATCTCGGCTCACTGCAAGCTCCGCCTCCCGGGTTCACGCCATTCTCCTGCTTCCGCCTCCGGAGTAGCTGGGATTACAGGCGCCCACCACGCCCGGCTAGTTTTTTGTAGAGATGGGGTTTCACCGTGTTAGCCAGGATGGTCTTGATCTCCTGACCTCGTGATCCGCCTGTCTCAGCCTCCCAAAGTGCTGGGATTACAGGCTTGAGCCACCGCGCCCGGCCGCCCTATTGTTTTAAAACACCATTCATTCCCATGATAGAAAACAGTGCAAAGCATAGGATGTCTTTGGTGGAGATAAAAAATCCTTGAATGAATTTAGATGGTGATAGTGATGATAATGATGATGGATGTATTAAAGACTCTAGCCGGGAGCGGTGGCTCACACCTGTAATCCCAGCACTTTGGGAGGCCAAAGTGGGCAGATCACCTGAGGTCAGGAGTTCCACACCAGCCTGGCCAACATGGCGAAACCCCCCCTCTACTAAAAATACAAAAATTAGCTGGGTGTAGTGGCCGGCACCTGTAATCCCAGCTACTTGGGAGGCTGAGGCAGGATAATTGCTTCTTTTCTTTGAAACAGGGTCTTGCTCTGTTGCCCAGGCTGGAGTGCAGTGGTACAAACACGGCTCACTGCAGTCTCAACCTCCCGGGCTCAAGCAGTCCTCCCACCTCAGCCTCCCTAGTAGCTGGGATTATAGGTGCACATCACCACATGTGGCAATTTTTTTTTCATTTTTTTGTATAGATGAAGTCTTGCCATGTTACCCAGGCTAAGGTTCTTATATATTAAGTGACTTTGATTGTAGATAATAGATTTAGAACCAAAATATGGATCTCTTGCCTCTCTAGTCAGTGCTTCTTGTACTGGAATGGATCTCTAGACTTGGTGTAATACCTCCTCTCAGTAGTGTGTATCGAAGGAGAAGAGAGGGCAGAGTAGGGGTAGTAGGGTGGGCTGGCCATTTTCTTGTGAGTTGAAAGGCTTAGACTCAGACCCTGTTGGCACTAAGTCTCTTGTGATTTTTAAATAAGTCTCCCGCTGCCTCAGTTCCTTTCTGTAAATCAGAGCAGAAGGGAAATTGTAGGATACTCTGCTAATATGATCTCGTGTTCTAGGAAAGTCGTATGAAGGAGGAGGTGAAAGTAGATCATCTATTTTATTTCGTATGATTTTACCAACACATCCGTTGAAATTTTTTTAAAACGTCATCACTCTGGTTCACATTTGCTTTTTTACGACACATATTTGAGAATTCAGCCACTGGGCTTATTTATACTCATTATTATCTAGGATAATCTTTGGGGTTTGAAATCACTTATAATCCCATAACACAAAACTGTGGCGAACATGTCCTCTGACCCACACGAATTATTTTCTATAAAAATGGAAGTCATGGATAGCCCTAATTAAATCCCTGCTTAGCAGATGCAAGTGCTCAGGACAGCTCTCTACATGATCCATAGAAACAAATCAAGGTTTGTAGTTGGAGAACCACTAAAAGCAAGCCAATGAGCATTCCTGTGGCTTGTAAACACAAAAGAAAATATTAAAAAGCACACATGAGATACAAAGTATACTATTACAAGCAGGCCCGAGTCAGCCACTCAGCACAGGCCTTAGAGCTGTGTCAGTATTGCTGAAGACCCTAAGGACTGGGCCTTCCTGGCACCATTTCTTCTCCTTCCTCCCAGAGCCACCATCGTCTAATGTTGTGTTCATAATTGACTTAATTTCCTTCCTCATTTTCCTATGTAACTATGTATCCTTAAAGCATATGTTGCTAAATCTTGCATATATTTGAAGTTTCTATTTAAGATAAGTGGCATTATATTGTAGATAATCCAGTTTGGGATCAAGTTTATATTTGGGAAGTCATCCATGGGTGTTGACATTTCAGCTGAATGTCATTCATTTTCACTATCCTATAGAATTCCATTACATGAAGATCCCATGATGTATTTACTCATAGGAGGATTTTTTCTTTTAATTACACAATATATTATCTTAATATTATACACACATAACAGTTATCATACACTATTACCCAAAAGTTGTCAACATTCTGTGAATATAGGCTCCAATACATAGAAGATTGAGCTGTGAACTCGTTAATTTTCTATATAGTTTCTTTGGAAACCAAAGATTTCAAAGCCAGAGTTTTTGCCAATCTCCTCTTTCTGCTTCATTAGGCCTGCCTTTCACGGTAACCTGTTCCTCAAATAATATCCTCCCAACTGTGACACCAACTAGATGTCAAAGCCTCAGTGATATCCGTTGATGTCAAAACATCAATTTATGTCAAATATAATTTAACCTAAAGCCAAGTTTCCTTTATTGGAATGATAATGTCATTTATCAAATGTCTTCTCTTTCACTTTCCCTGATTTTAGTTATTAAAACAACACCCCACTTCAATGTGTTCATTTGTAAAATAGCAATGCCATTACTAACTTGTGTCTATTACAGGGAGTATCCTATGAAGATGGTCTCAAAGCACTTTGAGATGAACAGAATGTTCTATAAATGGGAATTGAAAATAATCAAGACATTCATGGATCCAAACAGGCCACAGAAATACCATAGCAACAAATGAACAATAATTGCTGCATTATGGCTCTTTCCCCAGCTGCACTCATGCAATCAAAGCTCTGCTGCGTCTTCAGAAGGAGCCCAGGTCAGGTCTGGCTGCCATCACCCATGAGGAAGACGTGCGGAGCCAGACAGATGCCTGGAGGAAAGGTGGGTGTGTGCTGTCCTGCCCCATCCTCTCTGTTTCCCTCCCACGTGTTGCAGAGACGTCCTCAGCGTGGAACCAGGGCCCTTGACAGAGACATTGTCATTCCGGACACCCCACACCCAAGCCAGTTCATCCAAGTCACCCGATAATGATGTGCTCTGAAGAAACTACCTGTTGCAGCAAACTCCTTACCTTACTGGACGTGTCGCGATAGCCAGCGCAGGATGAGGCCGTGGGAGGATCTTAATGACACAGTCCACCCTGCAAACCAAGGTCAACAAGGCGGCAGGTATGGCCACGGCCCCTCACCGTGGACTCTGTACGAGCCAATACACGGTGTGCTGTTCCCCAGTTATTTCTGAATACAGCCACAGGGAGATGTGAACCAGCCCCACTTCCCTAGGGCACACAGAGGCTAGAAAGGATCCACAGGACCTGTTCAACTTGCCAATGATCCCAAACTCCTGATCCAGGCAGATCACTAAGACAGAGAAATACTCCCTTTCTAGGAATGCCTTCTGGCCTCACCCTGCTCAATGATGTGTCCACTAGCTCGACACACCCCGGTTAGTGGGGGCATCTTCTCCAGCGGTGGGGGGGACTGCAGCGGGGGCAGCTGCGGAGATGGCAGAATCTTTCCTGCGGGATTCTGGAATGTCGTATCCCCTCTGGAAGAGACACAAGGAGTGAGGGCGACACTGGGAAGGGTGTGGGAGGGAGAGCCTTCCTTACTGCCTGGCGTCCCTCAGGGGCCAGTGACCAACCTTATTAGCCACCTCTGTGCATTCAACCGCTTCCTCTCTCCTGAGGCAGCCAGAGCCTGAATATCTCAGCAAGGCATTAAGAAAGGCTTTAATAATTGATTTAATTAAAGTCTAAAAATTATAGAACCAGCTCCTATGCGTTGAGTGATTTCAGAGCTCTCCTTTTCTTTGCCGTCTTCGAAGGGGAATCTGGATGCTGGAGGGTTGCTCTCTGGCTTGACAAACTCAGTTTGTTTCCATAGTTACAAAACACTTGTGCTCTTCCCGACCCACAATCCATCAGGAGGGGCACACTGGCTGCCTGGTAACTACGAGATCATTTCCTGAATTGGCAGACCTCTTTAACACTGTCTAAACATTAGAAAGGTGGGTGACCACACCTGTTTTGTGCACTCCCTGACAATCTCATTTTGATTTAAGTATTTTGTAGGAAGCAAAGTAAAGACGATTTGCACTACAAATTACAAATATTTATATCTAATCCCCCAATAAATGGGAATTTCAAGGGAAAAGGCGGGAACTTGAAAGAGCGCGAGCAGTCGCTGCCGCGCCCCAAGGAGTTTGCTCTCGCCCGGGCTGACTCCATGAGTCCAGCTCTCTCCTTGGAGAAAGGAAGCTGTCGGGGAAGCCGAATGCCACGGTAGTCAAGGGCCAGGCAGCAGATCTGAGAGACCTGGACATACATCTTTTTCTTTTTTCTTTTTTTAGACAAAGTCTCGCTCTTGTCACCCAGGCTAGAGTGCAGTGGCGTGATCTCGGCTCACTCGCAGCCTCTACCTCCTGAGTTCAAGCTATTTTCCTGCCTCAGTCTCCTGAGTAGCTGGGATTACAGGCATGTGTGCCACCACGCCCGGCTAATTTTTGTACTTTTGTAGAGACGGAGTTTGCCATGTTGGCCAGGCTGGTCTGGAACTCCTGACCTCAGATGATCCGCCCACCTGGGCCTCCCAAAGTGCTGGATTACAGGTGTGAGCCACAGCGCCTGGCCACGTAAATCTTTTTCTCACTACATGTGGATAATTTATTCTCTCTTAACTGTATTAATAGTTCCCTTATCTTTGAAAGAAGTAACTCATGGCTTTGTTGAGAGGATTAAATAAGTGAAGGATTAGTACAAGTATGTATTTTACACTCTATAAGTGATCATTGCTATTTTGCCCTATTGTTTCAAAACACCATTCCCGTGGTACAAAACAGTGCGAAGTATAGGACATGTTCAGTGGAGATAAAGAATCCTTGAATGAATTTAGATGGTGGTGATGATGATAATGACGATGGATGTATTAAAGAGTAGCCAGGCACAGTGGCTCACACCTATAATCCCAGCACTTTGGGAGGCCGGGGTGGGTGGATCACTGAAGTCAGGAGTTCCAGACCAGCCTAGCCAACATGGTGAAGCCCCCTCTCTACTAAAAATACAAAAATTATCAGGGTGTGTTGGCGAGCACCTGTCATCCCGGCTACTTGGGAGGCTGAGGCAGGAGAATTGCTTGAATCTGGGAAGTGGAGGTTACAGTGAGCTGAGATCGCACCAGTGCACTCCCACCTGGGCAACAGAGTGAGACTCTCTAAAATTAAATTAAATTAAATTAAATTAAAAGTCTAGAGCCTTTCACGTAACTGTGGTTGCATTTGCTCCACTTCACATAAGAGGCTGTTTAGCATGTGATTACAAGTGGCCCTCAGGCCAGAGTGTATGAGTTCAAGTCTTGTCATTATTTCACACTAGATGTGTAATCTTAGGTAACCTCCGCAGAGTTTATTATACTTGCGTAGGTTTCCTTATCAGTAAAATGGAAATAATAATATAAATCTCATTGCACTGGTAAGAGGATTAAGTGCACTCAGATTTCTAAAGGGCTTAGACCAGTGCCTGCTATTTAAGGAACAGACTCCACCACGCAGAATGAGTTGGACACGCTGTGACACGCACAAACCTCTCAGTCTGCTGTGTGAGCTCTTTCTCTCCTGCCACCTTGGATGAAATCTTCTGCTGGTCCTCATAACTTTCACGGCCACTCCTGAATTGTGCAAAGTCCTCTGGTCACTTATTGAAGTAGTAAAGACCTCATCTCAGACACTAACGTGCCTGGCCCCACACGAGAAAGGACTAAACTTCATCGCATGTTTCTCTTCCTCCAGTTTATGCTGACCTAAGGGTACATGTGAATTTGTACCTTTTGCTAAGAAGGTTGGCGGAGGGACAAGAGTCATGGAATTGAATTTTTACCACTTCCTTTAAAAGTCCCTCGTAGGCCCTGCACCTTGCGTGGAATGTGGTTGTAGCTGACACTCATTATCTTGAGGCCTGGGCTGAAACGGGGGGAAAAAGAATCCCATTCCCCAAACCCCAGCTTCATGAAGGAATCATTGAAAAATAAAAATTGTGTGTATTTATGGTGTACAGTATGATGCTGTGACATATGTGTACACTGTGAAAGGGCTCGATGAAGCAAATTAACTCATATCTCACCATATATATACACACACATATATCTTACTATACACACACACAGATGAAAACATTGAAGATCCACTCTCAGCGATGCTCAAGTACACGATACATCACCATCCCCTGTGGTCGCTGTGCTGCGCACTATAGAGCTTCCCAACTGCCTAACGGACGTTTGTGCCCTTTTACCAACATCTCCCCAGCCAACCAGCCCTCACCATTCTACTCTCTGCTATGAGTTCTGCTCTTTTAGTTTTCACACATAAGTGAGATCATGCTGAATTTGTCTTTCTGTGCCTGGCTTCTCTCACTTAGCATAATGGCTTCCAGGTTTTTCCATATTATCACAAATGACAGGATGTTCTATTTTTTTAAGGCCGAATAGTGTTTCATTGTATATGTGTATATATAAGTCTGTATATACACATACATACCACGTTTTCTTTCTTTCTTTTTTTTTTGAGACAGGGTCTCATTCTGTTGCCCAAGTTGGAGTACAGTGGCTCAATCTCGGCTCATTGCAACCTCCGCCTCCCAGTCTCAAGCAATCCTCCCACCTCAGCCTCCCCAGTAGCTGGGACTGCAGGCATGCAGCACCACACTTGGCTACTTTTAAAAAATATTTGTCGAGACCAGCCCTCACCATATTCCCAGGTTGGTCTCAAACTCCTGGGCTCAAGCTATTCTCCTTGGCCTCCCAAAGTTCTGGGATTATAGGCATTAGCCACCACGTGGGGCTATACCACATTTTTCTTATCCTTTGAATCATAGATGGACTTTTAGATGAATTCCAAGTCTTGGCTGTTGTGAAGACTGCCACAGTGAACACGGGTGTGCACACATCTCTTCAACATACTGATTTCACTTTCTTTACATATACACCCAGAACTGGGATTGCTGGGCCATAATGGTAGCCCTATTTTTACTTTAGGTTAGTTTTTTTTTTTTCCACCCAGGCTGGAGTGCAATGGCATGATCATGGCTCACTGCAGCCACAATCTCCTGGGTTCAGCCTCCCAGGTAGCTAGGACTACAGTGTGTGCCACCATACCCGGCTAATTTTTTAAAATTTTGTAACAAGGTCTCACTATATTGCCCAAGCTGGTCTCAGACTCCTGGGTTCAAGCAGTCCTCCCACCTTGGCCTCCCAAAGTGCTGAGATTACAGGCGTGAGCTACCACACCAGGCCTATTTTTAGTTTTTTTGAGGAAACTTCATCTGTGTTCTATAATGGCAATACTAATTTACCTTCTCAACAACAGTGTGCAGGGGCTCCCTTTTCTCCATATCCTTACGAATAGTTATCTTTTTTTTTTTTTTAATAATAGCCATTCTGACAGGTGTGAGATGATACCTCATTGTGGTTTTTATTTGCATTTCCCGACTGATTAGTGAGGCTGAACATTTTTTTCATATACCTTTTGGCCATTTGTATGTCTTCTTTTGAGAATGTCTATTCAGGTCCCTAGCTAATATTAAAATCTGGTTATTTGTTTTCCTTTAGTGGAGTTGAGTTTGTTTGTTAATTAATTAATTAATTTATTTATTTTAGTTATGTTTTCGAGATGGAGTCTCGCTCTGTTGCCCAGGCTGGAGTGCAGCAGCGCGATCTCGGCTCACTGCAAGCTCCACCTCCCAGGTTCACGCCATTCTCCTGCCTCGGCCTCTCAAGTAGCTGGGACCAGGCGCCTGCCACCATGCCCAGCTAATTTTTTGTATTTTTAGTAGAGATGGGGTTTCACCGTGTTAGCCAGGATGGTCTTGATCTCCTGACCTCATGATCCACCCTCTTCGGCCTCCCAAAGTGCTGGGATTGCAGGCGTGAGCTACCGTGCCCAGCCTTGAGTTTCTTAAATAGTTTGGATATTGGCCGGGCGCGGTGGCTCAAGCCTGTAATCCCAGCACTTTGGGAAGCCGAGACGGGCGGATCACAAGGTCAGGAGATCGAGACCATCCTGGCTAACATGGTGAAACCCCGTCTCTACTAAAAAATACAAAAAACTAGCCGGGCGAGGTGGCGGGCGCCTGTAGTCCCAGCTACTTGGGAGGCTGAGGCAGGAGAATGGCATAAACCCGGGAGGCGGAGCTTGCAGTGAGCTGAGATCCGGCCACTGCACTCCAGCCTGGGCGACAGAGCGAGACTCTGTCTCAAAAAAAAAAAAAAAAAAAAAAAAAATAGTTTGGATATTAACCTCTTATTAGACGTATAATTTTCAAATATTTTCTCCTGTTTTGTAAGTTGTCTCTTCGTTCTGCTGATTGTTTTCTTGTTGTGGAGAAGGGTTTTGAGTTTGATGCACTCCCCTTTGTCTACTTTTGCTTTTGTTGTCTTTGCTTTTAGGTCATAGCCAAAAAAGAAAAATCCCATTTGTAATACTTATATATGTAAAACAAATGTGACATTATTACTCTCAAAATGACAAATCTTAAATGATACATTCTCAGTTTCAGTCACGTATTGGGAGTCGAATCTAATGTAGCCTGCACAAATACTAATTTTCAGTTACCATATATACATTCATACCTGTTCTAATACTGGGTTACAAGATTTAGCAAAAAAAAATGTGAGAAACGTAGTTACATTTGAATACCAAATAAACACAAGTAATTTTTATATGAATCAATCCTCTGCCATACATGGGGCATACTTACACTAAAAATGTATTCACGGCCGGGCGC